TTCATTGAAGATAATATGCCCTAGGAGATGAGAGGGAGGGGGGGCATTCCTGGGAGCTTAGGTAGTAGATATGGGGAGAGTGATTTGGAAGAAGGCCAATGAGACACAGAGATTTGGGGAATGGAAAGGGAGGGTCTGGGGTCAGGAAGCCAGAGCTGGCTTCGCCACGAACGGGGCCAGATTGTCGTGCTTAATAAAATGAAAGATTTCTTCAAAGACTATCTGTTTGGAAATGCAATTTATTTTATTTGAAGACAATATCAAAACCTGACATCGGACTTTCACCACCAGATGCATCCACAGCTGAGCGTCCTTTCGGTTTTGGTCCAGTCGCTTCACTCTTTCTGGTGCTACTAGTACTAGCCCTCTGCTCTTCCCCAGTAGCATATTGAACACTTTCCGACCTGAGGGGCTTATCTTCCGGCGTCATATCTTATTGCCTTTTGGTACTGTCTGTAGGGTTTTCATGGCAAAGATACTGGAGTGGGGTTGCCATTTCCTTCTCCAGTGGATCACATTTTGTCAGAGCTCTCTGCTATGACCTGTCTGTCTTGGGTGGCCCTGCACAGCATAGCTCATAGCTTCATTGAACTACGCAAGCCCCTTCGCCAAGACAAGGCAGTAATCCATGAAGGGGAATGAATGATTGTATCTTAATACAAATAGATGTAAAAAGTGACATATGATAGCTAAGTTAAAAATAAACAGGATTCAAAACACCAAAGTGGGTGAGAGATGTTGGATAGAAAGAAAATGTCCTTTAATAAAAGGGTGACATGATTAGAAGTTAGAATAAAGATAGAAATAAGAGAAAGGGGAAATATTAGTGTATACATTATATTTTTATATAATAAAATAAAAGCAATAACAAGAGGGAAGCTTAGAAATTGAATGGGGGTATTATTATGTATAATCAAATAATATGGTGAGTGGCATTAGATCAATATATAAAAACATGGAATAATTAAATGATAAACTACATCTTAATATAAAGGTGCATTATGATTAGAAAGTTGGTTGAATATTATTATATAAGTTCATTGAATGTAATAACTATGATTAATTCTACTAGTTTTATTTGTATTAGAATGTATGACACCCAGATTCCACACTGTTCATGTATTGGTATGTATATGTAAAATAAAATAAAAAACTTATTAAAAAATTAAATATGAGCCAGCAATGTGTGGCAGCAGCCAAAAAAGCAAATGCAATTTAGGAGTCATGTGATCTTGATTCACTCCCTCTGTTAATGCAATTTAGGATTGCATTAATAGAGGGACTGAATCAAGATCACATGAGGTACTAACACTGTTCTATGAAGCCTTAGTAAGGCCTCACCTGGAATACTGCATCCAGTTTTGGTCACCACCCTAAAAAAAGATGTTGAGACTCTAGAAAAAATAAAGAGAAGAGCAACCAGGATGATTAGGGGACTGTAGACTAAAACATATGAAGAACAGTTGCAGGAACTGGGCATGGCTAGTCTAGTGAAGACAAGGACCAGGGGAGACATGATAGTAATGTTCCAATATTTGAGGGGCTGCCACAGACAGGAACAATCCAAAGCACCTGAAGACCATGCAAGGAAGAATGCATGGAAACTGTTCAAGGAGAGATTCAACCTAGAAATAAGAATAAATTTTCTGACAATGAGAATTATCAAGCAATGGAACAGCTTGCCTTCAGAAGCTGTGGGTGCTTCATCATTGGAGACTTTCAAGAAGAGACTTGGACAGCTGCTTGTCAGAAATGGTATATACCTGTGATGGCAAACCTATGGCATGTGTGCCAGAGGTTGAATGCAGCGCCCCCTCTGTGGGCACACGAGCTGTCGCCCCAGCTCAATTCTGCCATGCATGCCTGCAGGCCTCCCACCAGCCAGCTGGTCTTCAGGTCTCTGCCGTGCATGCATGGGGAAGCAGTACGTGTGCATCGCAGGGGAGTGGGGCACATGTGGGGGGGCCGTGGGTGCATGCACGGGGAGCCGGGGCATATGTGGTTGGTTTGCGTGCACATTGCATTTTGGGGGTTCAGGTGCCTGAGCTTTTGCATATGCTTGCTCCAGAAAAGGTTAGCCATCACTGGTATATACAGTACTAGGGCTGTAATGGCAAACCTATGGCACAGGTGGCATGCATAGCCATATCAGTGGGCATGCCAGCTCAGCTCTGGTGCACATGCGTGCGCCGGCCAGCTGATTTTCAGGCCTTCTGGGCCCACCAGAAGTAGGGAAACAGGCTGTTTCCTGCCTCCGGAGGGCCTGGGGTGCATCTGGGAAGGGTGAAAACAGCCTTTCCCACTCCCTCGGAGGCCCTCTGGAGGCCTGAAAGGGCCCATTTCCCAACTCCCAGTGGGACAGGAAGTGACTTTTTTGCTGTCACCAGCCTCCAGAGACCCCTAGAAAGGCTCTGGAGGCTGGTGACAGCAAAAAAGTCAGTTCATGTCCCACCGGGAGTTGGGAAATGGGCCCTTTCAGGCCTCCAGAGGGCCTCCGAGGGAGTGGGAAAGGCTTCCCAGATGCATAGAGGATCTGGAGCCAGGTGAGAAAGAAAAATGGGCCTACCGGGCCATCGCGTGCCAGGAGCAAGGGGGAAGTGGGGGTTGAGCACACATGCGCAGAGCAGGGCACATAGAATTATGAGTGTGGGCACGCGCGCGTGCAAACCTCCCCCCCCCTCCTGGCACGCGATGGCAAAAAGATTAGCCATCACTGTATTAGGGGCTCCTGCTTGAGCAGGGGGTTGGACTAGATAACCTACAAGGTCCATTCCAATCCTTATTCTGTATTCTATCCTACAAAGCAGCATACAATATGGAATACATTGCGCCTGTTAGATCCTCCCAGTTACGACACCCTCAGCAACAGGTTCTGCTTGCAGGCGTCTAGGATTGGCTAAGACGCGAGCAGCTGAAGGAGCGGGAGAATAGCTGCTCGCGATTGGTTCAGGTTATCTGACAGCCAGCTATTTAAGGAGCTGTCAGAGAGTGTTGGTGCTTGCCTTATGTGTGTTCTGTTCCAGGCTGTTTCGTTCAATGAAGTTGGTGTTATATGCATAACCTAGCCTCCTGATTAATTACCCACTGGACGCAACAAGTGGCGACGAGGATGGGATTTCTATGAGATGACTGTTGCCAGAAACACCTACGGAACTGAAAGCGACAAGCCCTCGAGCCTTTGACTCACATCAACCAGCTCACGCGATGGTGGCCGCTCTTCCGACATTCACGCCATTCGAGTCGGCTTTGGAAACCTGGGACGAGTACCTGGAACGGTTCGAGTGTTTTTTACAAGCGAACAACCTAGCTGAATTGTCTAGCGCTCGGAAGAGGGGCTATTTCCTTAGTTCATGCGGCCGTGAAATATTCGCGATAGCCAGGGCTCTCGTCGCCCCTCAAGCTGTGTTTGCGGTGCCATGGGAGACTTTGCTTGAGAAGTTGAGGCATCACTACTCACCCACTCCCTCAAAAATTGCGAGAAGACATGCCTTTCATCAGAGGGCTCAGAGGGAGGGGGAGTCCATTAACGATTACATGGCCTCCCTACAATCAGCAGCACTACACTGCAAATTCAGGGAGCTAGATGAGATGCTCTTGGACCAGCTCGTGTGCGGGGTGCGATACATGAAGCTCCAGCAGAGATTGTTGGCCCGTTCCGACCTAACCCTCCCCATAGCAATGGACGAGGCCAGGGCCGCTGAGATGTCTGCCAAATCTTCGGCCGAGATTCAACGTTCCCAGCCTGGAGGGGGTTTGCCAACTACCGCCCCCCCAATCTGTTCATTATGAGGAGTCAGACCTGGATGACACCTCTGAAGGGGAAACCGATGTGAGCCGCCTTAAAGCTATAAAAAACAAGACTCGCATGCCTACATTTAAGACATCCCAGGGCAGGTGCCTGGGTTGTGGGGGCTCGCATGCCCGCACAGAATGCAGGTTCCGATCCGCTGTCTGCCGGTGCTGTGGCAAGCGAGGTCACCTCTCTAGAGTCTGCCATTCCGTGTTTCCAGCTCCAGGGGGAACCGGAGAACCAGAGCCCAAGCGACTGAAGACCAGACAAACCGGGCGCCGCGATGGTTGTGTTGCTTCGACCCTTGAGGGTGACATTGCAGCGGTGGCCGTCAGCCACACTTCCGCACCAGTCACCGAAAGCAAGATCTAACAGCGCCTGCAGCTACAAGTGCACTCAGCAAACAATTGGGTGTATTTCCCCACTGTGTGCCTTTGTAATCCCTTCTTCCACAATTTTTCCGGGGGAAAGAGGAAAAAATATAAGTGACAATGCAATCTTTCCTGCGCTGACCTGCTCCTCCCTTTCGCCACACAGGGCTACCTTGAAAAATCAACCATCCTGTTCCATTAATTTGCGCTTTCTTTCCCTCCCACTTTTGGGAAAGTGCTTTTAAACTAGAAATCCCTTGTCTATTTATTTGCAGAATCGGACACCAACCGCCTATCCATACAAGCAAGCAGTTGATCCTCAGGCTATCCACGTGGAGACTATTCTAACCTTAGCGTGTGAACTGAGATGACAGCGACTGGCATCAAAGGAAGGTTTCCTATAACTCTCAAGACCGATCCGTGCAGCTGCCAGCATCTTACCCGACGCCTTTAGGCTCCGTACTCGGTACACGCAATCCTATGGTCTCTGTTGCTGCATCATGTAAATAAAAAGCAATGAAGCTTCTTCCCGGACGAGAGCCGCATCGAGTTTTTCCACCCGCCACAGAACAGACAAAATGAGGAAGAGTCCGGTAGAAAGGACCGTACCACAATCAAACACTATAGCAAATTAGACGACTGGAGCGGCCGATTAAGTTGCAGGAGACAGCTCATTACAGGTTGACTATGACCAATAACCGGGGTAGAAAAAGAGAAGAGTGTAGCGTCTCTCATTCGCGTTTCACTAGTGATACCAAGCAATTACTTCCCCAACAACCGTCCCAATGGGCCGAGCCTGCCGAGAGAAAGCGTAAACGTATGCGCAGACTCTTGTTTCGAGAGAGAGTGCGCGAAACCCGGATGGAGGGGAAGAGACAGCAAGGAAGTTCCCGTCTTGGGCAACCGGATAATGTGGCTGGGAGGTGGGGCTGTTTTTTTTCTACTTCGCTGGATCGGAGCGCAAAATACGCAAAGACCGACCTGCGGCGTTTCCTTATGTTATAAGTAAGTATTTATTTAGTAGATTTCGATTCTACCTTTTCATCCGGAGTTGAAGGCGGCGGATTTAGGACTCATTTTTCTTTACAACAACCACCCTATGGGATAAGCTGGGCTCTAAGAGAGTTCCGCTCTACTGCGTCTCCTTCCAGAAAAAGACTTTCGGCAGCAGTTCTGTGATTGGGTGGGCAGAGAGCTACATAATTCTTGCTAGTAGATGGCAATTTAATTAAACATCATGCTGAGATTTTTTAAAAAAAACTGCATTGTCTTTACAGTTTGGCATAACGTGAAAAATAGCATAAAAATTAAGTAAATAATATTGAGAATGAACGTAAACCCTGGGAAGTTATCTCTTTTGTTTTTGCACTCTTTTCCTACCTTCCCTCCGCCCAGTGCCTACTTGTTGCATTAAGACTGGCTTTTAAGAAGTTTCCTAAAGCCCCCCTTTCTCTTTAAAATAATTTCTTGGCTTTGTCCCCCACACAAACATGCATAGGAAGTTGGTGAGGTTTTTTTTGGGGGGAAGGGAATATTGTAGATTAATAGGTTATATGCATTTCACTTTTTATGATAGCAGCTCTGCCCACTAAACAGTTTTGCTATAGTGTATCCTGTTATGTTTGGGTAATAAGAGATTGCCTTGTGCAGGTAATACTCAATTTACAACAGTTCATTTAGTGACTTCAAAGTTACAATGGCACTAAAAAAGTGATTTATGACCATTTTTCATACTTATGACTGTTGCAGCATCCCCATGGTCATGTGATAAGCTTTTGCAAACTTCTAACAAGCAAAAGTCAATGGGGAAGCCAGATTCACTTAACAACTGTGTTATTAACTAAACAACTGCAATGATTCACTTAACAACTGTGGCAAGAAAGGTTGTAAAATGGGGCAAAACTCACTTAACAAATGTCTCCCTTAGCAATATAAATTTTGGGCTCAATTTTGTTGTAAAATTGAGGACTACCTGTATTTGTTATCTTTTAAAGGGATTGGTTCACATTTATTTGACAGAATATGTGTGATGGATGATTGAATGTTTTGAAAAGAAGCTGCTAAAATAATTCAAAACTTGTAGTGACATAGTAATCAAATACTGCATTATAACCAGTACCGTGGGAAAACTTGTAAAAGTAAAGTACAAATGAAACATGCATTACAGCCTTGTGATTAGTGCATAATCTTGGATTATTAAAAAGGAGTGCTTAAAAGCAACTTCATTTGCATTTGTCAGGAATCAAAAATGACCAATTCCATAACACCTTCTACCTATGTACGTTCCCTTGGCTATGGAATGATGAGACAGCTAGCAGATTTCATTGATCCACAAGAAGGATGGAAGAAATTAGCTGCTGATATAACTGATTCATCTGGTGCAAAACGATACAACCAAATGCAAATAAGGTAAGGTATGGAAACCAAAGGGGAAACATTGTTACATATTTATTTATGTTTTTAATAAATTTATATAGTGACCTAAGCCCTTGATTCTAGCTGGAGTTAGCTTGCAACTTGCTAAATAATTTGGTCATTGAAAATGAAGGCAATAGAACTAGTGGATGCTCAAGCATGCTCACTGTGAGTGATTGGTAGTTGGAGTGAGGGACCCAAAAAAATTGTCAGAACAGCTGCTGTTGGGACATCGCTAAGGAGAGGGAATAAAAGTCAACCTTTGAGATGGACTCTGTCTGAGTTTTCTCCTGCTTGTATATCTAGACTAGAGATGTGAGAAGCTATATTGGATCACATTGATATTATATTGCCTATAAGTTTTCACTGAAAGATTGACTGTCCAAAATAAGACTTAGGCGTCTACAGTTTGGGGTTGTTTAACAGGGATGGCAACTTTATTTTAAGAATGGCACCTTGATGCTGAACCTTTCTTTAATATCTGATCTTTGCTATATTTGTTACATATATCACTCTGTTTGTGAAAACAATCTTGGAAATTAATTATACAATTCATTTCTGTGCTAGGTGTAATCCTGTTTTCTCATTGTTACTGGGCTCAGCTATTATATAAATTATATAATATATAAATTATTTAAGACAGTAGGTTCATGTATCCTAGTACTTTATAGCTGGCAGAATACTTAATGTTTAGCTGCTCAGGCTTGGACTAAAAACTTAATAGCAAAAGTGCAACTAAAATGGTTATAACATGTCACATTTTTTTTTATAAATAATAGCTAATTCTTTAACATATGTATATACCTTAAAGGCGATTTGAAGCATTAAAACAAGTAGGAAAAAGTCCCACCTGTGAATTACTTTATGATTGGGGAACATTAAATTGTACAGTTAGTGATTTGGTGGACCTTCTCATCAGAAACCAGTTCTTGGCACCAGCAAGTCTTTTGATTCCAGGTAATTTTGATCTACACTTTATCTTTCACACAAGCATTTTGTTTTCTTGAAAATGTTGATTTCATACAATTAAACTATAATGGAACATGTTTTGTTCTGGCTTATTGCTAATATGAAACCTAGTCATTGTCATTTTTAAACCATGGTTAAACTGTAGTGAACCAAATATTACTAGCAATCTTTTCCTGAAATGTCTGTAGAGAGTACACCTAAATCACTATCCTCTTACAAGATGACCTAGAACAGTGATGGTGAATCTTTTAGAGACCAAGTGCCCAAACTGCAACCCAAAACCCACTTATTTATTGCAACGTGCCAACATGGCAATTTAACCTGAATACTTAGGTTTTACTACCTAAAATAATGATAAACAAGGCAGAGTTCAGTTAATTGTTCTAAGAAAAACGTGATAAATGCACTTTTATGCCCTTTCATTTTTTTTCTGCTTTTGAAATATTACATTTAGCAACAATAAAAAAGAAAAACTTTTGTAATATCATTTCTCTCTTTCCCTCCCTCTCTCCCTTCCCCCCCTCTTTCTCTCTCTCTTTCCTTCTCCCCCCTCTCTGCCTCTTTCTATTTCTGTCTCTGTTTCCCTCCATCTCTCTTTCCCTCTCTCCGTCTCTCTCTTTCTCTTTCCCTCCCTCTCCCTCTTTCTCTCTCTCTCTTTCCCTCTCCCCTCTCTCTCCCCCCCAGGGGAAAAGGAACCCCTGAACTGGTGCTGGGTGGTGGGAATCTGACGCCCAGGAGCTGTGCGTCAACAATCAGCTGGTCGGCAGAGAGCTGAACACCAGCTGGCCAGCGGGGAGGCGGGGCATCACAACACCGGCAACTCTGCAGGAAAATCAACTGACATCCGGGAGACAAGAGGGAGCTGACGACGATGCAGGGTCGCATTGAGGCTCCGCATCATAATGGGCTCCAAGAGGAGGGGACCCTGTCTCCCCCATTGTGAAGCATGTTAAATTTCACTGTGCTGCACAAGGCACTGCGAGAGCAACGGGCAGGCCATGGAAACAGCAACAGCAAATGTACCGCTACAAAGGCGGAATGCTGTTTTGCGGAAAGGCAAGTGCAGGGGTGCTTTGCTCCCGCACTAACGCTCCGGCCACCACCACAACAGGGCAACAGCTCTTTCATCCACTGCTGCGACGGGGAGCTGCAGCAGAGTTTTTTTGAACCCTGAAATAAGCACTTGGCCTTATTGCCATGCACTCAAAAGCCCGATTGGGCTTATTATCAGGGAATGTCTTATTTTTGGGGAAACAGGGTAGTCAAAAATTCTTGGCTAGCATAATTGAATAACTACCACAAAGTGAGGCTACTTTATACTAAGTATACTAAATAAACTAAGGATACAGTTAAAATTTACATTTTTTAAAAAAAACTTTGTTTATTAAGTTTACTGATAAGTTATGCTGCCGAATTAATACATGCTTTTTAAATGAAATGGATAGTATTTTCAGGACTTTAATTTTTTTCATCTGCATTTGAAGAAACTTACATAGAACTAAATATCAGTAGTTAGGAAAATAAAATAGTTTTTTATGTATGTGAAAAGGCTAGTATTTTTCTGTTTTATACTATATATTAAAAATCCTTTTTATTCAGTGGGGTAGAAATGATGGCAAAATTTGCAAGTTTACATTTGAGGAATCTTTCAGATTATGAGTGGTTGTAAACTGTGGTGAAGGGCATCATTCACAATTTAATCAGCCCCAAGTTTTCATACCATTCTAGGTGACTCACATTATAACTTTATGTTAATCCCATAGTATGCTTAAGAAGCTAAGTGATTAGTCAAGCATAATTAATTCCTTACACCTTTTTTTTAAGTGTTCTAGGATGAATGCATTTACTGACATCTATATGATTTTATTTAATGGTAAATTCTGTAACCATGATGAAAATATGAGCCTGTCTCTATCCTTACCAGAAACTGTACTCCTACATAAAAAAGGACCTCTTGTAGAAGGCAAGAAAATATCACCTGAATGGTTACCCTTGGATCCAAATGAAGGTCACCTAACATCAAATAGTTGTGATCTGAGTTCAGAGAACAACAGCAGTCACCTTAATGATACAGGTAGACAGTTATCCTTTCCAAACTTTAACTCATCTTTTACTCTACCCTTGCTAGCCCATTCCAGTATGGGTGTTGGCTTCAGATGATGACAAGCTGGTAGATATATATACAAATTTACAGCTCTTAACAACATGAAACAAGGCTGTTTCTTTCTAGGAGGATTCTGGGTATTATGTCTTGACACTGTAATATTATCAATCAGCAGTCAGGGCACCTGGCTATAAAGACAGATCTGCTCAGTTGCCTGTGGTCTGCGTAGCAAACCATCTTGTCCCTGAAAATGCTTTTGGCCAGAAGGCTGGCTAGGTACACAAACCTGGTGTGAAGAATCCAATGTCCACATAGGAATTGAGGAGAGGCAAAACTCTTTTATTTCTGTACAGAAGCAGAAGAGGATGCCTCTGGAGTTTACATTCAAGAAGTACCCCAGTAATCAGGCACAATTATTTTTATACAATTTGCTACAGGAAACAAAAGTAAGAGAATTGCTTATTGGTTACAAAATTACCAATACCTGACAGTCATACATGTGTACAAAGCAAAACTATCCCACAATACTCCATTAATTATTTAATTCTATATCATTATCATACAAGATGACTACCTCTGGGTGTGATGTTTTTTTACTATGCTGTGAATTATTTATCTCCGGGCCCTTGCCTAACACCCCTAACCACTGTTAAGCTACCGTATTTTTCGGAGTATAAGACGCACCTTTTTACCCCCCAAAAGGGGGTGAAAATTTAGGTGCGTCTTATACACCGAATGTAGCCCTGCCCACCCACTGGCCCCCACCCTTTGTCCTCTGCCTCCCAGCAGTTACCTCCTTGCAAGCAAACAGCAAGAAAAAACAGCCCCATTCAGCTTCAGCATAGGCTAATTAGCACAAGTTGATTAGATCGGCCTCCCGACTCTCAGCTGATTTGCTCTCAGCTGTTTTGCGCAGGCTCTTTTGCAAGGTCTTGTTTTGCAAGCTCTTTGCTTGCTGCAAAGAGTGCTGGAGCAGATTTTTTTTTCCCCTAACTAAAACAAAACTGAAAGTAAAGCAGGCTCTGTTGCAACGTGACAAAATGAAGAAGGGAGAGAGATTTCTTTTTCTTTTTGCTCACCAAAAAAGGTAGGTGTAAACAATGGGAAATTTAGGGCAAAAGAGGAGAGTTCAAGATTTTAAAATACAAAAGAAAAAAAGGTCTATTTAACTAGGGAATTGTAATAATTGAGATGCTATTAATTGTATATTGTGTTGAAAGCAGAAATGGTTAAGTTATGGTTTGGAGGAATATATGGGGAAAATTATTTGGTTTATTATTATTGGTAAATATAATTAATTGAGTTGTAAGAAATTGGATTGCATGGAAATAATTGAAATATTCATGTTCATATTGATTAATGTACAAAAAAGATAGTTATAACTAATTGATTTATATAAAAATGTTGAATTTGTATTAAACAATTGTAATATTAAATAATTAACCAATGTGAGGATGGATATAAAAATAAATGACAATGGGAAGGGGTATAATATAGAATAGAAGGGAAAAATTGAATTTGATTAAGATTAGAGATGAGAATGAAGGGTAATATTGGTTTTTTTAAAAAAATAGATGAAGAATAAATATGGCAAAAAGAAAATATAGAAATTGTAAATTTAATTGAAATGACTAAACACTGTTTAAATTTATGAACCAGCCAAATACTCTGTTCAAAGAAAATACATTGTATGTTTGTATGTGTGCTTGTCTAAAAAATAAAAAAAATAAAAACTTAAAAAAACAACAACCAAAAAAGGTAGGTACGTCTTATACTCCGGTGCGTCTTATACTCCGAAAAACACAGTAAATACCAGGGACCTTTTTTAAAATCCAGTAACAGGTTTGCTTGCAAGTGTCAAAGACACAACTTGTTAAACTATATAGGAAACATTTGAAGTATATAGAAGATATTTGGACTATAGGAGCCTATGGACTGTTTGTGGTGGACACCCCACCCCTCAGCTCTTGCTGTCAGATTTTATGAAATGTTACTTCTAGCAGTCAAAGGCACAAATGAAGTAATTGCTCTGGCTAAAGTTAATTTAAAAGTTTACAAAAGCCTCTAATTATTTATTAGTAACCTAATAAACCACCAAATCTTTAAACTGGAAAAATATCATACCTAAGAACAAAGGAAATTTTCACTAATCCTACAATGTCAGCCTTAGTTGCTTGTAAAACGTCAAAAAATCTGTTATATAAATACAGTAACTAAACCTTGAAGTCCAACAGATACCAGCCTTGAAAACCTACATCAGTATATTAAATTGTGTTTGCCGAACCTCATTCAGGTATTTGATTCCAAAAATTGTCTAGAAACTTTAATTTGATCCACTTTGTTGTACATTGATCACTGCTTGGTTGGATTATTGTAATACACTATATGATAGGCTTCCTTTGGAGATGGGGTCACTATAATAGTTATTGGAAAACTTCTGAGCCCTATGAATAATGTTCTTTAATTAATTAATTAATTAATTAATTAATTAATTAATTTAACTTGTATGCTGCCTTTCTCCGAAGACTCAAGCAATTGAGTCATATAGCCATATAGCAATTTAGATTGCTATATAGCACAGCACTGAGACATGTAATTTACAATATGTAAATAAATTAAGGTAGAGTTTGGATTATAAAATTTCCATGCTTAAAATGATTTTGTGATTTGCACTCAATCTTGTTCTTCCTGATTCCCGGCTTCTGTCTAGGATTGAAAAGCTTCTTGTTTTATGAGCTGAAAAGTATCACAAATAACTTTGATGACCAAACTGTGTCAGCTGGTGGCAACAAGATTGGTGAAGGAGGCTTTGGAGTGGTTTACAAAGGATGCATCAATGGCCAAACAGTGGCAGTGAAAAAACTTACAGCTGTAAATTTTCAATTATTTTGCTAATAGTAATCTTTGATATATGCCTATTTAATTTAAAGAATTATGTAATAAAAGGAGAACAGAAAATCATGCACTAATAATGTTATGTTACCTTTCACACTACATTTATAGTATCTAATAGAAAAATTAGAGCAAGAGCAAAATTCTTTAACAAGTCAAGCAGGAAAATTATTTCAAGTAATTATGCTTCAGAAATTTTTGAGTTATAACAGATTTTAATAATCCTGTGTAGAAAACATTACTTATGACAAAATTCTTCAATTTACTGTTCTACAAACATTTTGGGCTTAACAAAGTAAGACTGGCACAAGTAGAAATTCAGATATTTACTGGTTCTGAGAGCATAATTGATTTGTTTTGTTCACACCATGTTGAAATAGAACAATGGATATTTAAATCAGCCACAATTAACAGAACTCACATAAGATGCTGAATCATAAAGCATTTTTAGAAGTCCCTCGTTAGCTAGCGTGGTTTCCTTTGATTTCCTATTTAAACCAGATAGCATGGATAATAGGCCATGTTTCTGGCTAATATAGGATATGAACCCAGATAATTGCAGTTTATTTACTTTCTCTTAGGTAATGAAATCAAGGCATAGCATGTGTGAACCAACCATAATAGGGCTCTGCAAAAATAAGTATATATCTTTTCTATCAACCACATATGTACATTTATTTTTATTTTATTGTAGTTGGCTGATATAAGTATCGAAGAGCTGAAAAAGCAATTTGAGCAAGAAATAAAGATTATGGCAAAGTAAGTAGTAAGTGTTGTTAAAATATTGTTGCAATATATATCTGCAATAAATTGCTAGTTTTTTTAAAATTTGGTCTTAGTACTAAAATTGAAATCTTAGTAGAAAATATATAGAAATATTAGATATTTCTTCTAGTTGCAAATTGTAAAAATTAAGGTGCATTAGAAACTAGGGAAATAATTACTGATAATATTATTGCATACAAGTAGCTTAGGAAAATGTTGATACAGCAATCAAAATAGTTAAGTTGTAATTTTAAAATTCCTTTTTAATTTCCATGTTCTTTAATATCACTAGTACAACTATACACATAGAATGGCCATCTCTTGGGAAAGGGACTAGCATTGTGCAGGGCCATAGCTTTTAAAATTTTTAGAATTTTAAAAAAATTAAACATAAGGTAGCTGAAGGGAACTTCAGTTTCAATTCTAACATGAGGAAATTTCTGTAGAAATGAACATGATTTGTTCGGAAGTCATCTATTTTGCTGATCTCAACTGTTCATTTGCAAAAACATATTTCCCAATTATTTTTACGTACAATTTTTTGATGTTTAGGTAGCTTTCTTTGAATAATTACTGTGATCTATTCTGAATATATGAACTAAAAAAAAGTTTCCACTAATTGCAATGAAATGTACTCTTTTTAAACCTTTGAAGTTTCATGGAATTTTTTAGGTCATTCATGTGTTAAAATAAACATTTGTTTTTTATTTTATATATACAAATATCCTTGAGATTCCAATTTTTAGGTTTTTTTAAAAAAAATACCATATTACTTTGTATCTAGTTAGATCAGTTATTGCCCTAATTCAGGCCACATAGGACAGGTGGCATTCATATCTTTACAACTGTCATACATCAACACAAAATATTTTGTGTAGAAAATATGAGATCGGTCACTGAAGACATTGAATCAATTTCTCTGCTGTATAGTCAATTTACAGTCAAAGCCAGAACTAGCTTAAATCCATTATGTTTTTCAGAATGGTACATATTGAAAAACAGAAAAGCCCCAACAATATAAAACTATCCACTTTTGTCTACAGGTGCCAACATGAGAACTTAGTAGAATTGCTTGGTTTCTCAAATGATTTTGATCAGCCTTGCTTAGTATATGATTATATGCCCAAAGGCTCCTTGCTTGATAGATTAGCTTGCCTGGTAAGTGCTTTCTTTAGTATTCAGGTCTAAAGGTATGAAACTTGACCATTCATGCAGGATCATGCTTTTTAAATATTTAACTTTTTAAAACTTAATGAAAACCAGAAATCATATGGCTTAATAATATTGCTTTTCTAGTACATTGTCAGCTATTTCTCGATTAATTATTTTGGAGAAAAACTTGTTTAATATTAAAACATTTCTCTACCTAAGATTAATTCCTGTTTGAATTCCTAATAAATGTTTTATGAATCAGTTCAAGATTTCAGAAAAATCTGTAGCCTTTGCAGATATAATGTTAAACTATTTTTCTTTATTTAGTACAGCTAGAAGGAATATATCAGATATTTTACTACCTTTAAAAATAATTAGAGATTGTTATGCTTGAATAGGAGCAAAACGTTCTTAGCTTAAAGTATAGTATCTGTTGGGAAAAAATGGTTCATAATCCATGGTGAATTTAGCTTTTATTTTTCAAAACATGGTATTTTAACTTGTTAAGGCATAAAAAACTTTAATAAAGAGTTCTGCTCTTTATTTAGTGTTATTGGAATTAGTGGGAAAAGTATATATCTTAGCCATATTATTCATGTAATATTAAAGTATATTTTATTATTTTTTCCTAAAGTAGACTTTTTAATGTATTTCCAAATTTTCTTTTACTGGATATGAAATACAGGTAGTCCTTGACTTACAACAGTTTGTTTAGTGACTATTTAAAGTTACAATGGCACAGGACTTCAGGTTTGGCGTCGCGGTGAGACAGTCGGGGAAATAGAGGGTTCTGATGAGCGCCGCGAAAACCCCGGCTGCCGAACTGCTGCCGATGGGACCAGAACCGTCCTGCCGGGACGGGGGAAAAAGAGGGGTGCCTCGGACGACCAAGAGGAACAGGCAAGTTCCTTAGAGGTCAGAGGGAACCCTCTGTGACTCGGCGGCGGGTGGGGGGGGGCAGGAGCCATGGCTGCTGCCACGAAGCTGGGACTAACAACCGGACTAAGAGATGTGCAGGAGGAAAGTGGGTTGAAACGGAGCTCTTTGAAGCCAGGCTTGTAACAATGCTTAGAGCAAGATTTTTAACTATAAGACCCCTAGCCTTAAAATAGCGGCTGAACAACAAAGGGGCTATGGAAAGCTTAAAATGTAACTTTTAAGAGACAAAGATCCAACAAAACAACCAACTCTTGAATAGAACTGATGGATTAAATATAGAGACATTGTGAAAAGACTGGATTTTTTTAAAATTTGAACTGAATTTTAAAAAAGAAGATGATTTGATTTGATATTCTTAAAATCAAAGGAAGAAGCGTAATTAAATTGGACTGTTATATAATCACAATAAAATGGATACTTGCATGACTAATGGAAAATGGATTGTAGAGGGACACTTTCTGGTTCAAAAAGGAACATTGTAATTCGTCTTTGTTATGGAAAATTTTGAACTCTACAGATAACAGTCGTGGTGACTTTGTGGTGGAGGTTTTTTTCTTGTCTGCAGGCAGTTTGACTTTGGTGAAAAGAAAAGGAAACTACAATGGAACTCCTATAATTGGAATAATAATAATTTAAAAACTGGCGCAGGAATAAAAGAAGGATTTAGAGCAGGCTCAAGAGAAGGGAACTTGATGCATTTTATCCAGAATAAAAATAAGAAAAAGACTTAATATGACATATGGAGGACAACATTTGAAGACTTTGAAAATGGAAGAAAATATATGCTAGCAGATGAGAAAATGAAGAAATGAGGTAGATATGGCTGGAAAAAGAAAAAAGAAGACTAAAACAATGTGATTAAAAATGAAATAATGTATAGGTGGATAGTAATAATGAGGTTTTTATAAGATAATTATGGATGAATAAGAATATGAGAAAAATATGTCATAGATATATAAAATTGAAATGCTAATGGAAATTAGAATATAAGAGAAATTAAGCATGTTAAAAGAGATTTTTAAATATATACAAAGGTATGTTTCAAGCAAGAACCATGTCTCAGTGCTAAATTGTCATAAAAAAGGATAATGATAAATATTATTAACGGAAATAAGCAATGTATAGATGGATGGAAATAACAAAGAGGAGTATGCTGGGATTAATAGTAAAGCTAACTATCATTATGCTGTGATTAAGCGCTCTACATGGGGCTACCCTTGAAAAGTGTTCAGAGACAACAGTTGGTCCAGAACGCAGCCATGCGAGCTGTCGGTGCACCTAGGTACACCCACATTACACCAATTCTCCTTGAGCTGCATTGGCTCCCTATTGGTCTCTGGTCACAATTCAAGGTGTTGATTATTACCTTTAAAGCCCTACATGGCTCAGGGCCAGGTTATCTTCAAGACTGCCTTCTGCCGCATAGCTCCCAGCGACTGGTAAGATCCCACAGAGTTGGTCTCCTTCAGGTCCCATCAGCTAAACAATGTCGGCTGGTGGGCCTGCGGGGGAGGGCCTTCTCTGTGGCTGCCTCAGCTCTCTGGAACCAATTACCTCCTGAGGTCCGGACCATCCCCACTCTATTGGACCTGGCTTTTCCGGCAGGCCTGGGGCCGTTGATCTCGCTCTTGTGATCTGGCGAGATCCGGCCATGAATGGTGTGAATGAGTTTTTAATGTTTTTAATGTTTTTTTAATTTTTCAATGTCTTTTTATAATGATTTTTTAAATGTATTGTGAGCCGCCCTGAGTCTTCGGAGAGGGGCAGCATATAAATTAAATTAAATTAAATTAAATTAAATTAAATTAAATTAAATAATTAAATTAAATTAAATTAAATTAAATTAAATTAAATTAAATTAAATTAAATTAAATTATTAAATTAAATTAAATTAAATTAAATTAAATTAAATTATTAAATTAAATTAAATTAAATTAAATTAAATTAAATTAAATTAAATAATTTAATTAAATTAATTAAATTAAATTAAATTAAATTAAATAAATTAAATTATTAAATTAAATTATTAAATTAAATTAAATTAAATTATTAAATTAACAGCCAAAAAACAAAAATGATTATGCTGTATTTGACAGCAAAAAACAAAAATGACTATGCTGTGTTTAACAGCCAATAAAGTTAACTATGATTATGCTGTGATTAACAAAAAAGAATATGCTGTGTTTAATCACCAAAAAACAAAAAATGATTATGTTGGGTAGGACAGCAAAATAAAGAGGATTTTGCTGGGAGTAACAGTAATGCTGGAATTAACAGCCAAAAAATAAAAATTATGCTGGGTAGGACAGCCAAAAAAAAGGAGTATGTTGAGATTAACAGTAAAAATGAAATGTATAAATTGGGTTTAACAACCGAAATAAAGATGATAATGCTGAGTTCAACAGTAATAAAAAAGAAATGATTGTATTAGGATTAATAGTAAAGTAATGAAGATGATTATATTGGGAGCAATAGTTAAAATATCTTTTAAATGTTTACAATAACTGTAATGATTTATATTGTTAAAATATATCCATCTAAGCAAAAAGAAAGAGAAAAGTTGAATGATACTTGGTTAGGATTTAAGATTTAAGTAACGGGTCTCAGCTCCTTGTCCCGTACGGCACAGAGACAGCAATAAAACACAGCCGGACACATCAACTGAATGGTGAATGCTGGTTTAATGCTTTCGTCAGATACGAGACAACGCCAAGCTACAAAGTCTTTCAAAGTTGGCGCTATGAGGCGGATGCTCGTAGCACTTTATATTTCTGCGCCCCACCCCTCACTACTCCCCTTCGTAATGATCGGGGCGTTGTCCCATCAGTTACGCCGTTGTAGTTTGGGATCGCATTTCTGGCGTTTTTCCTAGCGTCCGTAGTTATCCTAACCTGACACCCTTCCACCCCTTCGCGTGTCGCCTTGTCTATATCCCGTGCCACCTCCACTGCTACGACGTCTTGCTGTTTCACCGTAGAACGTTGTGAGTAATATGCTCCACCGGTCCTCCACCGTTTCTCCTTCCCGTCCCCTCCGTATGCCGAGCACGCTGGGCTCGACAGGCGGCTCCCTTTCACCAGGGTCCTCTCTGGAAAACACAAAGTAGATGTATTAGTATTGCCCGACGGTTTCCATGGGTATTTTTTATGGAACCGGCGTGTTAACCGGTCAGCTGCGGTGTCTGTCGCTAGAACCCAGGTGGCTTCCTCTAGTGGATATCCCTTCCACTTCACTAAGTATTGTAACCTACCACGGTGGATTCGGGAATCTAGGATATCCTCCACCTCGTAATGTTCTCCATGTACTGGTGGGGGTGGGGCTGGTGTGGGTCTCACAATAGTTACAGGTTTAAGGAGGCTGCAGTGAAACACCGGATGAATTTTCCCTAACGGGGGGCGGAAGTTTTAGACTGACTGTAACTGGATTAATAATTTTTTCGATGGGGAAGGGACCTAGGTATTTGGGTCCCAGTTTCCGATTAGGTAGTCGGAGTTTGATATATTTCGTGGACAGGTAGACCATATCCCTGATTTTAAAAGGTTTGGATACGGCTCGTTTTTTGTCGGCCTGGATTTTATATTCGGCTGCCGCTTTATCAAGGGCAGATTTTACTTGCGGCCACAGAGTTCGTATTTTCTCTCCCCATTTGCTAGGCGCTATTTCTGGTTGCGTAGGTCTGAGTTCTGGGATAGCGACGAAGTCTTGTCCAGTAACTATTTGGAATGGCGTATATCCAGTGCTGCGATGTACCGCATTGTTATACGCCACTTTGGCGAAAGGTAATAGAGCAGCCCAGTCTGTCTGTTGGTACAAAACATAGCTTCTTAAATAGCGTTCCACCATTGCATTAGTCCTTTCGGCAGCGCTATTGGTACTAGGGTGGAACGCTGAACTAAGTCCTTGAGTGGAACCTATTAATTGAAGGAAGTTTCGGCAAAACCGTGCTGTAAATTGTACCCCTCTATCTGAAATAATTCTACGGGGTACCCCATGAAGTCGATAGATGTGCTGGACAAATAGTTTAGTTAATTTTCAGGCTGACGGGAGTCCAGCGCAGGGTATAAAAT